TATGGAATCCAGTGGGAAAGGTGTGTGCGAGGGCTCCGGACTAAATGATTTATGTCAGGCATTGGGGCCTCCGGAGGAATACAGGAGTGTGTGCGGAGGAGGGGCTTGCGGCTAATTATTTCTCCTAAGAATACTTTAGTGGGTAATTTGTGCTTGCAGATGAGTCACACCGCAGGCTGGATGAAAGGTGAGGTAAGCACAGAAATTCCTAAGATCCCATTTAGAGATAGACAGACAGGGAATCTAAGGATTCAGCAGGCTTTCTCATCTCTTCACGCTGAAACATTTGGAGATACAAAAATATAAAGAGCAAACTTAGTTCTCTGCTCTAACAGGCAAGTTGGGATCAAAGTCTGTAATTTTAGTGCATGGATTGTGTTAGCTGCTTTTGAACACAGACTTCTGGCACAGATGACAAGCTATCACTCATCAGATGGATGAGCATGAATCCAGCTCCTTTCCTTTATAATGATCCGGAGAGGCATTTCTCTTCTCTCTCCCTCCCTCCCTCTCTCTCTATCCTCTTTCTCCTCTCTCCTCTCTGCTCTCTCTTCTTCTTTTTCTTCTTCTCCCTCTCCCTTTCTTTCTCTTTCAAAGTCCTACTTTATTTTAGATGACTCTGGTTGCAGAGATGAGAATTTCTGCACTGCTCCCTGCGTTTCAAAGAAGGCTGTCACCATTTTCTAGGATTCCTGTATGAAGCTCTCTAGCTGAGAAATGATCCTGCAAGTCATCCCAAGGGTAATGAGGTCCCCCTCCCCATCTCAACAACATAAAAAGGATAATGGAATTCCACTAGAGGAACTTACAGTGGAGGCACATAGGTTTCTCGTGTAGTTTTTTCATAACCTTTCATTACCTGAAGCATTTCAGTGGTGTTTTTAGTAATCTGGGAGATTATGAATGTTGCAGTTATACAGTACCAGATCCACCACTGGGGGATCTTGCTGGAACCCCATGTGAGCCTGCCAGCAAGAGGTTGGCTCTTTTGTTTTTGTGCCTTTTCTTTCTTAGCAGCTGCTTACTGTCATTACAGCTAATATAGTGGATGAAACTTTTGGGCTAGCTGGCGGCTCTGAGTATCTCTCTAATGGTTTCCATTGTGCACATCCCTAGAAAACACTTCTGACCAATGAACCCCTAACTGCAAATGACACCGGCAAGCTTCATTGAAAATGACACCACTGGAGGGAACCTTGCACTCATTTGGGATGTTTCCCTCACTGGGGAAAGAAGGCCATTTCAGCAGTTACACCAAGGGGATGTTGTCATGTGGCATTTACTTTTCTAAGGCACAGAACAGAGTGGTGGGGGTAGTTTGTGCTCCTATATGCTAACTATGTGCTTAGCTGTGTGATACCCAAATAAGAATCCCAGCACAGCCAGAGGGGATCAAGAAACCACAGTCTTCCCAGTTCATCCTCAGACAGAACAGGGAATGTGGATATCAGACAATCCAAAGTAAATCATGACCCATGTCCAGAATCAATCATGTTTAAATGCAGAGCACGCAACGAATGCTGGAGTTAAGTACCATCAGTAAAGGGTGGGGAACACAGGAAGGACCTCTTGGGACTCGTCATCCAGCAAGTTGCATTCTAATTCTTGGCTGCAACTAAAGACAAATGGTGGCATCAAGTGAATTCTTTCACTTTGCTGAGTTTGCCTCAGTTTCCTTTTAGCAAGAAGGTCATCGACCAGATGGGTTCAAACTCACTCAATAATTGTTCAGTGAAGGTTTGGTTTGTGCCAGGATTTGTGTCAGGCAAATGGGGAGCTTTTTGGTAATAAGATTGGTATGGTCTTGGTCCTTTTGTGTTTTGTAATTTAGTACTGTGAAGTAATATGAAATACATAAGTTTACAGTGATGTATTTTAGGAAGCAGGGAACATTTGGTGCTATGGTGAGGTGTGGAGAGGTTTGACCAGTCTGTGAAAGTTCTTTGAGGGCATTTGTTTAGGTTGAGCCTGGGAGACAAGGAATTGGCCAGGCAGAAATGGGAGTAGGATGCGGTAGAAAATCATTTCCGACAGTGTTTTTGAAGGCTCTGTAGGGAAAAGGAGATTGAGATAGGATTGTGAATCATAAAAAATCAGTAAAAATGTGGCTGGTTGGAGGGTTACACACAGTGCTGAAGCATTCTGACTTCATCTTGAGAGAGATGGGAAGCTACTAATGGCCATTTCATTGCAAAGTGGGGCTGATCCTTGAATTCTGCTCTAGACTGGGTGTTCTAGAACTTTCCACGTGGTCTTTAGACTTCTCTAGAACCCATTAGAGAGCCACAATACTCAGGTGTGATCCATAGAAGTAGACACAAAGTAGTGATCCCAGAACTTCACCTCCCATCTGCTGCTTGTTGAAACTTGGCATGGAAAGGTGAATTTGCTTGCGTAGGGTGAATTTGGTGCCTTTGGCCTCAGGCTACAGACCTGAAATCAATTGGACCAGACTTTGAGTCTGATTCTTTACTTCTTTGTAGGATTTATCAGGAATTCAGAGGCTGCACTATATGCCCACTGTTCCTTACTATGTAAGAAGATGAGAAATGGGATCTTCTGAATGTCAGCCTCTTCTGGATCACCTTTCATATTGCAGGACTTTCTGAGACTTCCATTTGGGGGAGATTATGAAAACAAGATAGATGCTATCTGGGTCCTTTGTGATTTTACATCTGACAGTATGGACTAATTTAGTTCTTGTTGTATGTACTCCTGGAGTAAAAAAAAATGTATTAGGCCATGACTGGATCATGTTTGGAGGGAGTCCTTGTAGCACTGGACTTAGCTGGCATCTAGCATCAGTGTTATCCATTTATGAAGCCCCACTAAGTGAAGACTTTACATCCCTTCTTTCCCTTGGGAGAATCTACAATTTTGTGAGACAACTTTGTAGGGCTGGTGGGCTTACTTTACAGATGTGGAAATGGGGGCTCAGGAAGGTAGATTTCTTGTCCACATCACATGTCAAGTAAGTGGAGGAGCAAAGAACAAAATTTAATGTTACAAACTCCCAAGTCCAGGCTTCCAAAAAAGAAAATATCCTATGCTTTCTTCTGTAGAAGCTTTTGCTGTGTTATGGTTAAAACATGGAATTCCCTAAAGACTCATGTGTTGAGGTCTTGATCCCCAGGACAGCAATCTTCAGCAGTGGCACCTACAGAGATGATTGGGTCACCAGGGCACCAAGTTCATCAGTGGATAAATGCATTGATGAGTTCATAGCTCAATGGGTTTGTTGGAAGGGGAGCCAAACTTGAGGAGGCAGATCACAGGGGCAGAGGGCACATTCTTGTCCTTGGCATCTTCCTCTCTCTCTCTGAGTTTCTCTGTTTCTATGCTTCCTGGTGCTCTGAGGTGAACAGTGTTTCTCTGCCATACCCATCTGCATGATGTTTCTGCCTTGGAACTTGCTGACCACAGATTGAAACCTCTGCAACTGTCACCTAAAATAAACTTTTCCTCCCTTGAGTTGCATATGTCAGGGATTTGCTTAAAGTGATGAAATGCTGATCAATATATGTGTGTTGGGTGAGGCAGAATGAGAGATGGGAAAACTTTAATCTCTCAAATGCTTGCTTCTTTTTCCTGCTTTTAAGGAGATGTAAATAAAATAACCCCAACCCTGCAAAGTGGTGGTGAATCTCTGCAGCAGGATGAGGGGGTGTATGCCTGTGGGTGGCCCTAACCTGGCAGGAATGACTTTTCACTTGTCTTCACCTGGTATGCACATAGCTTGAGTTTGCTTATGCTATATTTGTGAAAAATTCTAGTTATCGGTGCCCCTTTGGAGAGATGGGTCCCGAAGCTTTTTTTGGGAACTGTCCTTGCATTCAGGAAGACCATCAGTCTCGTCGTCTTCATTTATGTAAGATAATACCCGCATATTTGTCTGGGTTCTCAACAGGAACAGAATAAAATGTACATATAATTGTAAGAGAGGATTTATCTGACTGGCTTATGTGGTCAGAGGCTGGGTAAGATGACCATCTGTAGGCCAGAGAGCTGGGGTATGTAGCACTAGTCAAGAAGCTGGAAGCCTCAGAACAGGAAGAGCCAAGCACGGGGCTCTTGTCTAAGGCTCAAGGCCTAGAAGCTCCTGGGACAGCTGCAGGTGCAAGTCTATGTTCAAAGGCTAAAACATCTGGAATCTGATGTCTTTGAGTGACAGCACTGGCAAAAAGCTATCTGTGTAAGAAGACCTGAGCTTGCTTACCCAAGCGAGCTTCCTCCTTGCTGTTTGTCCCATCCAGGCCTGTAGCCTGTTGGATGCCGCTGCCCACATTCAGGGTGGGTCTTAGAGATACATGAGATACTCTCTCAGATACATGATCCACCTTCCAATCTGTCTCACAGACACACCCAGCAGTGCGCTTTACCGCTGACACAGAAAGATTTAGATCCTAGAAACCTACCTTACAAAAAGGCTAAATGTTTACGTTTTTGTCAGAATCTGAATATACAACTTTCCACTAACAAGTTTTTTTTTTTTTTTTTTTTTTTTTTTTTGAGACAGAGTCTCTCTATGCAGTTCAGGTTGGCTTCAAGGCAAGATGGCCTGGTAGATGGATATGACAGAGGAAAAGCTGCTCATGCCATGGCATCCAGGAAGCTGAGAGAGAGAAAAGGCAGGAGGTCCCAGGAAGGCAGATATATGCCCTTCCATGTCACACCAGCAAGTGCCCTGCCTCTTTTGATCAGGCCTTACCTCCTGTCAGCAAGTCAGCTGTATGCCCCATAATCCCAGCACACTGTCCAAACACATAAGGCTTTGGGGACCATTTTAGATCTAAACCATAATAGTTCAAGAAGCAGTTTTACAGTACACCAATGGTGGATCAGTAGTCAAGCCTGACAGCATTCGCTTAAATGTTTTGATTGGCCCAAATGTTTTGACTGGATGTTATCTTGCAAAGATTACTGTTCTGCGTCATGTCCGAGAAAGCCCTGGCTATTTTAGGTAAGGATAAGAGGCTCAGGGAAGCCCTGGACCAGTTTCTGCTTTGGATTCCACCTGTGATTATTATTTTTTTTGATTAATGAGTGGGACTGTCTCTGTTCCTAGTGAGGACTGGACATTTGAAGGGATACAAAGCTGCCAGTCAGTGCTGACAGTTGCTTCACAGAGACACACCACAAATGCTTTTGGCTTTGACATACATACATGCCAAACTTGGTTTGTCAGGTAATTTGGATGACACAGAGCCAACAGAGAGGGCTTGAGTAACAGGTTAGGGAGCTTGCATGGGTGTTTTAGTCAGTGTTTACTGGAGTCAGAAGTAGAAGAGTGCAAGAGATCTGTCCGGACACCAGGAATCCAGCCGAGGGTTCACAGCAATATCCTGTGCAAGTCCACGCCAGCATGTCAAGGGCTCTAAGCCGAGAAGACCAAGGACTGGCACCAGGCTAGAGAGTCTGCACCGGCAGGCCAAGGCCAGTGCTGGAAGTCGAAGAATCTGGACAGAGAACCAGGAGTGTATGCTGAGGCAAAGGTGAAGAGCGGAGCTCCTAGCTGAAGCATCTGCGCCAGGAGACAGCATGCCTGGTGAAGGTGAGGGCCAGAGTTCTTCCCAGAGAACAATAGCTGTCCTCTGAGAAGACTGGAGCTCAGACAAGGAGAACTATGGAAGCTTCCTGGAGGGAAATCAGTACACAATCCTTCCCGCCTGTTCTTCTTTTATAAGGTTTCCCAGAACCACTAACTCAGTCCGCCTGGGGGTTCCCACCCAAGTTGACCAGCAGTCCATCAACCACCACAGTGGCAGAGGGTGGTGGGGAATGGCGGGAGCTTGGGACAGTGCCTGGGAAAAGGGTTGCTGAGGCACATCTCCCCTCCTTGTTTCTTCCTTCCACATTCTCTCCCTTCTATTCTTTCTCTTTTCCTTTCCCCTCCCTCTTTCTCTTTTTAAAAACTCCTTCTGTCCCTTATTTACTTCCTCCTTCCTTCCTTTCCGTCTTTCACTCTTCCTTCCTGCCCTTGCTCCATCCACACTCTTTTCCCTCCCCTCTCTCCAGTCCTAAGTGTTCATCAGCATTTTTGAACTACATACTGGGTGACATGTTGGGCTCTGGGGAAGACCAGGGTAGCTAGCACAAGTCTAGGCCCTCAGCACAGCCTCTTCAAGCTAGTAAAGAGCACTTCAGGCTAGTAGAGCGAGGATTATCTCTACATCGTGAGCTAAGTGCTGTGGAAGCCCAGAGGAATCTCACTTGGTCTCTTGGGAGATGGCTGCCTGTCCCCATGGCAAAGGCCAGTCAGGAGAAGCCTGGCCAGCCTGGCCACCTCGTGGGTATGAGAGCACAGTGCATGGTAGGTAAAAGCACAGGCTCCCCCGCAGCTCAGCTTCCATAACGCTGACGGGCCCGGTGCACTGAGCTGGTCTCCGGGCTCACTCTGCCCCTGCGTCTGGTATTCTGCTAACTTTTCTGGCAGTAGTTTGAAAATCTTGCTGAAACCCAGTTTCACAATTTCCTTGCTTCACTTTGCAAAAGGAGCCAGGGCTTTTTATTTGCTACCCACTGCTTAATTGTGGTAACTCTCAGCACAATTAAGGTCTTATTGAGGAAGAAAGGGCTTTGATCACCTTTAACAACTCTTGGAACTCCCTCTAAGTGCCTCTGCTAATTCTCACCTCTTTTAATAGTGTGGATATGTTCAGTCACCCCTGTCCCACCCTTGCACAGTCCCTGCCTACAGTTCCCCAGGCACAGATGTTCACTGACTTAATTATCTTGGAAGCTATTGTTCAAATAATATCTGTGATATCAATAGCATCCGCTTCCAAGTGCAGCCTGTGGGAGCAGCAGTGCTGTGAGCTCAGAATTCAGAGCGTGCTTCCCAGCCTGCAGCAGCAAGTCCCCTGTCCCCTCAGCAGGGAGACCAGGAGCCCAAGCCAGCTCCGTTCCTGAGGCTTCAGGAGATCAATTACCAGGACAGGGCAGGGGCTAAGGAGACCTATCTGTGCACTCTTGTGATTCTTTAAGGGGACTTGAAGAGACTCCTATACTTCTTCTCCATACTGAGGTGGTAGGGAAGGGGCTTGGGAGGCCCTGGCAGGGACTCTGCTCTGGGGCTTACGTACAGTCCTGCTTCTTTGTCTGCCTCACAACGGGGGACCCCTTCCTATGCCCAAGGGGTGAGATTCTGACAGACTGGGGTATTTTAAAACCTGTTGGATTGATAGTAAATTAGGCTCACAGATGAGGAGACACTGCCATTGGGTTGACAGCCTGTTCTTTGGAGGAAGGGCATGCAACTCTTGGAGGACTTGGGAGGAAGCCAGGTGTCAGCCAGGAGGCAGCAGAGGTTCAGGAGCTGTGCTGCAAGGCTTCACTGAGGCTGTGGCACAGGGACTGTCCCTGGCTGTCTCTTAGGTGATGAGCCTGGTCGCAGGGCCTAAAATGTGAGAGTCATGCTTGAGGTGCTGGCAATGTGTAATTCAAGTCCGCACGAAGAGCTGCTTACCTCCCAGAGGAGTGGCCAACCCAAGCGAGTGGCTGTCCCTGCAGAGCCAGCAAGGCCTCAGATGTCACAGCATCAGCACTCTGTGAATAAAAAAGACCCACCCAGGGTCGCCAGAGTTGTTTCTTCCCTTTCCTCCCCTTGTTTGCTCTGTTGCTGAGAGCCACTGACTCTACTGCATGCAAACTTTTGGAACCTGCCCCTCTGCCCATCCCCTCCGCTCCCATTCAGCCCACATCACGGTGTCTCTCACCTGGGCTGCAGCAATGTCTCCCTGATTGCTTTTGTTGACTTTCCTGTTGCCTCTCTCTTGACAATCTTTGCTGGGCGGCTGGTGGGATTTTGCAAGTCACAACCTAGTACTTTGCACTTCACCTTGCTTACAATAGCCAGTGGCTTTGTACTGTGATTAGGATACAACTCAAACTCGTTTCTGGACTACCAGGCTCTGCTTGAGCTGCCCGGCCTGTTGCTGCCACTTCCCCTGTGCTTCAGCTGTGCTCCAGCTGCAGTGTGAGCTCCCCACCCTTGACCTTCTGCTCCCAAGGCCTTCGCCCAATTCCGTAGGTCCCGGCCTGTGGATGATGTCTAAACCTCCCTCCCACGCGTCCCTCAGAGACCTGCTGATCACCAGGTGTACTGACAAATTGGTTTTGTTGTTATTTATTTGGAAACCGGGACTCCCTATGTTGTCCAGGCTGGTCTCCAACCATGGGCTCACGTGATTCCCCTGCTTCAGCCTCTCAAGTAGTTAGGACTATAGATGTCCACTCTATCTGGCTTGTTATTTATTTTTTGCATCATCTGTTAGACTAGCACAGAGGCTGTAACATAATGCCAAGGTCAAAGTGTCATGACTGAAGTCTGACTGCTTTGTTTTTTTTAAGCTCTGTAGCTTTGGGTTTGCGACTTCACTGCTCTGAACCTCAGTGTTTCCATCAGTGAAATGGGAATAAGACCTTCCTCACAGCACTGTTGTGAGAGTGACATAGGATAATCCATGGGAAGTGTGTAACATGAGATGTGTTAGGATGAGGAGCTGTTTTCACTGGTAAGGTGCATACTCCATGAAGAAAGGGAAAAGCTTTCCTTGTCACCTGCTGCCCCCTCCATCTTCCCGCTGCCAGCCACTTGGGGGTTCCCAGGTAATATTCCTGGAATGAACGGCAGTGCTCGGCTCTAGAACTAGCTCCCCAGGATCCCCAGTGGGATAAGCGCTCCTTTCCAATCTAGGGAACACAGAGAGGGCCATGAAGGCCTAATGCGGGACTGTTCCCTGTCCAGGACAAGCACCCATTTGGCAATGCAGGGGATTTAGGCTTAATTTTCTAGTCTGGTTCCCTGGAAGAGCTGACAGTATCTCTGCACAGCTTTCCGATGAGCAAAAAAATCAGTAGTTTATTATCAAATTTTAATCTTTGCTTGCATGAAAGGTTAAAAACTGACATTTTATGATAGTTTTATTGCTTTTAGTGTGGTTGAACACCTCTTCTGTGAATGTTCTTTTGGATTAGGAAGATCTGTTACTCGCCAAGAAGTCTTCTTGGTTTTAATTATGTTTTCAAGTGAGAAAACCATCTCCCATGCAGCAAATTTAAAGCATAGAAAATTAAGAGAAAGTTTTTTTCTAACTTGAAATGACAAAGATAACCAAGAAAAAAAAAACTTAGCTCTCTATTTCTCCTTTTATTTTATATTATTTTTACCCTTTCCAGGAACTCACAAAGAATTCCAGGTCCTAGTCTGGCCTATAACTTGTCATAGTAATCATAGTAATTTGCTAAGCAATAAAAATATAATTGGTCTCAAGCTGCTGGAATAATTTAATCAGGACTTAGCTTAAATATCTCATTTTGGAAAGAGTATTAGAACTTTGTCACTGTGTTGTTCTTGCCTTCTATGACTAATAATTCACTATCTTTTTACTTTGTTTTTTCCTGTTGGCTTGGCAAGAAATTAATTTCTGAGAATGAGAGATTAGGATGAAGCAGTTTCTCAATTTGTCCTAGAAAACACTCTTTGGTATCTATTTGATAACTAAAAAATATTTGTTGGGAAGAATCATTTTAAAAGATCTTTCTTCATATTTAATTCCTTTTTCCTGTTCTAACATATAGTACCCCATTGCAAATAAAAATTCCATGAGCTTTATGTTTGTCAAAATAACTATGCATTCACTTCTCTCTTAGAGTGTGAATTACCGGAGGCCACTGTTGTGTAACTGCCCCCTTACCTACTCCTGAAGCTCTCCAGGGGCAGTGCAAGGAACAACTGTATTTTAAGGAATCCTCAGGTAAGTCTCTCTGTGCATCCAATTTTGGGATGGAGGATCCCAAAATTAATGTCCATTCGTTGGGCATCAGATCAGTTAAGAAGGGCATTGTGGTGTCCTCGCAGGAGACACTTGCTTACTCTCCAGAATTCCTTTGGTCTGTTTTCATCTCCTAGGTTCGTTTTCTTTAAGCAGCAAAGGGAAAGGAAACACAAAATTATTGCCATATAGCTACTAAGGCATGTCCCCATGTTGCATAGATCGTTGAGACTATGCATAGATCGTTGAGACTATGCAATCGTTGAGACTCCATGCATAGATGGTTTACCATGTTTGTGGTATTGTGCCTAGGTGGATACCGGTTCTGCAGCTAATAGCTGATCCGAATTAAGCTCTTGGCCCAAATCACTTTCACTCCCATGTTACTGTAGTGAACCTCCAGGGACTGTTGCCAGTAAAGGTCAGGGTCTGCTTGTTCTTTAGCACTGGTGCTGCACAAAACCTACTTTCCATGCCTGCAGGTTAGAGTGTTGTATAGCTAAGAATGAAAGTTGTCAGATTTCTAGCAAAGAGTGATTCTGAACCTGTTTGTAATTTACATTAAGGCATCACTATAAGACAGTGAAATGTTTAACTGCTATAACATGTGTAGACATAATTGAATAATTAAAAATTTCCAAGCACTGACTTCATTTACAAAACCATTGTCTAATCCAGTTAGGGAAAAAAAAATCTATTGCATTTCCAGTTCTCAGTTGTAATAGCCTAGCTGCTGTTTATATTTATTTTCTGATAGTATGAGCTTTTAAAAAATAATACAAGAGCTTGCTTTAATTACTATGACAAATTTTCATAACTTTATTACCAATTGAAAAAATAACTTATTGTGAAGGATTTTAGAGATTGTTTTTAGGAGAAAAAAATCAACACAAAGTACATGAAGTTAGGCTGTGGAGACAAGTAGGTTTCTTTACAGAGATCACCTGTTGCTATCTTTGTAAACAACTTGCTTTCTTATTCAGGAAAGTGATACACATTCTGAAGAATTTTTGGAGAATACAGAGTAGGATAAAGAACAAAAAGAAAATGGCTCAATGATTGTTATTTCAAAGTTGTCTAAAACACTCACTTGCAGAGGAACAGCAGAATCAGGGAAAAAGAGTTTGCTCTTGTGGTGAGCCTGCCAGGCGCTGTGCCACCTGGATTTATGTGGCGTCCCGTTTAATTTACGCAGGCTCCTTTTGTGATCAGCATCACTCTCTGCTCTTCTGAGTATCAAAGCTGCAACTCAGAGACTTGCTTGGATTGAGCTAACTTTAAGCACAGTCTGCTCTACCAGCCTCTACGTTTTTCTTTCCACTAATCACAGTGATTTGTTTTCAAGCCTACTCTGCTGAGCTCAGGCACTAAAATGGATTTTCCTTTCTATACATATGAAAGCAGTTAGTCAAAAATTCTACTTTAATGCGTTTACTCTGATGGGTGAGTCTGGTTTGAGGAGGAGAATGCAGTCTGTCTGCAGCACATTGCCTTGAAGGATACTACAAGCCAGGGCTCTTTGGGAAAAGTAAGCCTCGCCCTGGCCACTTCCTAAGGATTAAGAGTTGCTTGACTTGATTCTGTTCTGCCTTGTTGCATATAGGTCAAATGTAGACATCGATATGAAGACAAGAGTTGCTCTGTGTGTGTGTGTGTGTGTGTGTGTGTGTGTGTGTAAGTACTTCCAGATGGAAAGCCAAAGCGATGCATACCGTTTTTAAAAATTAGTTTAAAATCTCATTTTCTTCTGCTTCCAAGCTGGCCCCAGGCAAAACAGCAGTTTTGGTTTCCAGAGACTGGGCTGGAGCTGGGAGCAGGGCTGTGACTGGGGAGGTGCAGGTCGGGGGAGTCGTGGGTGTTTCCTGCCTGTGTTCTCTGCGTGTGCTGCCTGGAGGGGGAGTTGAGGGGCATCCCGACAGGAACACGTGTGAAAGGGCTGCCTTTCTCGGTACGTTCAGACAGCGCTGGCTGTTTGGCTCCATCCTTGCACACAGTTTCTCTTCTTGGTTTGCACAGGGAGGGGACGCAGGGCAGGACAAACAGCCCATGCTGGAGATGAGGATGGGGCGACTCATGAAGCCCTGGCCCCATCTCTGAGCTACATGGCAGGCGCAGGTTCACCAGAGCCGTCCGGTGAGCAGGGGGAAGGCACTGTCCACGTGTCCAGCCTTTGCTTTTCCTGTGGCCTCTCATTTCTCAGTGCCCACTGTCTTCCTGCTTATTTTCATCAGCACTGGCTTTTGCTCCCTTCTCAGGGCTCTTTCTTAGAGTGGGGTGTCAGTGCTACTGTGGTATGGGAATGGTTTTTTTCCCCTTTATATCTGAACACTTGTAGAATGTAATGCATTCACCAACAAGAAAAAATTACATGAAATCTAAAATTTTAATGGCCATTATCAAATACAGGATGTTGTGCTAGGTAGGCTACTGCTAAGCAGCTATAAAAGAGAGATCCCCAAGATACAGTATATTAAATAAGAGAGCAGCTTATTTGTCTCGTGGGCATCTATCTGCATTTTGAGTCCATAGACTTGTGTAGGGACCCGGATTTTGTCATCTTGTCATCCTCCTCTGGAGGGTGGAGGCTGTTGCATGACCTTCTTAACGTCATCTTACCTGAAGGGAGAAGAAGAGGAGCTTCCCTGGCAAGGATTTCCCTCTAGCAATGTGCAAGTGGCATATGTTATGTGTGTTCATATTCTGTGGTCATATGGCTCTGCCCTGTCACAAGAGAGAACAAGTGGCCTTGTCCCCGGTAAGGCCTAAGTGGTGTGGGGTGCACTGTTGCCCTAAGGGAGAAAGACAGAATGGAAACCAGAGGATGGGTGGCAATCTTTGCTGCAGATTTAAAGGTTAAACATGTTGGGAGCTGGGGATTTAGCTCAGTGGCATAAGCGCCTGCCTTGCAAGCAGGCAGTTGTGAGTTTGATCCCCGGTACCAAAAAAAAAAAAAAAGGTTAAACATGTTAGTAGGTAACAGCACAAATTGTACACAGATAGGACAGAACAAAATTGTGAAAAGGCTAGGGAACAGTTGAGGCTCAGGTAACAGCACACCTGAAGGGTAGATAATGCTGTAAGGTCTTCGTTCTGTACAGAAAACTGTAGACTAAGTGAGATGCCGTAGGAAAGGGACTGGGCTTGCTTTACTGACATGGTCCTCGCCTGCCTCTTCCCTGAGTGGTTATGTACTGCATCTGCCCACGAACCTATTTTAACTTTGGATTGATCGCAATTTCTTCTTGCAACACAATCTGCAAAAAAGGAGATATTACATGAATGCTGAGACATCTTCCTTCCTTTGTTAAAAGTCTCTGTGAACTTCTCACGGCAGAGCTTCATTCTCAGTGACTCCTCAGAGAGTGCATTTCTGGCTGGAGCAGAACCTCAGAAGTCTCCTATGTTGGGGATTATGTTCTGTTTCCATCTCTCTTGAACACTAAGACAACGAGGTAGACAATGCCTGTGTGAATTTATGCCCATGGAACCACATTTCCTCTGCTGGTTTAAGGGTTTGCCAACAAGACCTGGTCTATATGCTTCTCCCAGATGGATTACTGGGAACTGGTTCTACCTTTACCTTCCTGTTCTTGGCTGGTCAATGAACAAGAGACCCCGAGAGTGTGGTGGGCCAGGGTATGCTCTCTGCAGAGAAGGAGAATCATCTCTATTTCATGGTAAATGTACCTTTGCTCTAGGCTTTCAGTGGCTTCGTGCTCAGAGAAATCAGGAGTATAATATCTTAACTATCTTTTATGTATATAGTTTCTTTCAGTCTCTCACACTAGAGAGATAATATGTTTACACATGCATGTCTGATTTATTTCACTGAGTGCGGTCTCAAATTGTATCCATTTACCTATAAAAGTCTCAGGTTTTTCCTTCTTTATGAATTAGTAGTACTCCATTGTATAAAAATACATCTTTTTTATTCATTCCTCAGCTGATGGGCACTTAGGTTGTTTCCAAGATCTAGCTATTATAAACTGCGATGCTATAAACATGGGTGCACATATATCACCGTGGTACAATGTTTTTAATTCTTCTGGGAAGATACCCAGAAGGGGAATATCTGGGTCAAATGGGACCTCCAATCCTAGATTTTTGAGGAATTTCCACACTGGTTTCCGTAGCTGCACCAGTCTACACTCATACCAACAGTGGAGAAGGATTCCTATTTCCCATAGCCCTTCCAGCATTTGTTATTTGTTGATTTCTTAATAATAGATGTTGTTTCTGGGGTGAGGTGGAATTCAGTGTTGAAGAAAAAAATTCTTAACCCAATTCCTTTTTCCTCCTTTTGCTCATAAAATGTCAGTCAAGACTCGTGCAGGATCACAGCAACAAAGTGAGTATCGATGTTATAATCTCTGGTGACAAATTTTTAATTCAAGTCTTTTTGTGTCATCCAGAGGAAAAACTTTTGTTTGAGTATTCTTTAAATTCATAGTTTTTGCTATGGTATCATTTTATTATTTTTCTGATATAATAACCACAATAGTAAACAAGACAGCTTTTTTGTTTGCTATGGTGTATATTCTGGAACCAGATTGTAGGCTTTGAAGTCCTAATCTTACAACTCATGTGTGACCTGGGGAGAAATACTAAAACTCTCTGGGCCTCAGTTTTGCTCACATATAAAATGGGGATAATACATAATAGTAAGTACTTAGCATGGTTGTAAAGAAAATAAATTAATGTTCTAAAGTATTTAAACAAATTCATGGCATTTATTAAATATTTCTAATTGTTCATTAAAGAAATAAATGAAAATAAACATTAAAATCCCTTCCCATAAATTACTGACTTTAAATTGGTAGCAATTTCTTATTATACGCTATGTGTATTTGCAACTTTATCTCTCTTTTTTTTGAGGGGAGGCAGGGTTTGACACAAGGTTTTGTTCTGTAGTTCAGGATGGCTCTGAATTTGCTGTGTAGCCCAGGCTGTCCTCAGACTCATGGCAGTCCTCTTGCCTCAGC